CGTAGACATGATGATCCACTTTTCCTATTTTTTTCCATATTTTTTCCTATTTTTTTCACAAAATGCTTTTATTTTCTGGTAACCAGATATCTGGTGTTTATGAATTTTCATAAAGTGTTTGTTTAAGACATATGACTATGCTGGCTGTAAGCGAGTTCAGGCAGTAGCTGTACACTCTAAATTCAATTTCTCATTGGTCAAAAAAAAAACAAGCTGCCCAGAGATTGTTTCATGTGTCTGATGAAGGAGCTCTTCTTGATGAAGTGATATATGTGGAAGTTTGTAAAAAAAATGAGAAAGAAGCTCATAGCAAATGTCCAAGTGAGCAAAGCTTTCAGCTTTTTGTTCATTATGATTGCAAGACAATATCACACAGAAGTGCTAGACTATAAACTGTGAGGACAGAAATATTCATTAGTTTCCAACCCACAACATTGACACTCAGCTGGTGTTTCTAGGGCTTGCCACAACATAAGAAGCAATAGTAACACCACTACTTGCAAAAAAAAAAATCTTTTAATTTTATGTGTAGTAAATGATCTGCTTAGGCTGTATTCATTGTAAAATGAAATGTTTTGAGGAAAGATAAAATCCATATTTGTACATGCAATACCGGCACTACATTCTGGCTCAAGGCCAATAATACTGACAATTGGTTAGGGTTAAAAATCTGTAAAGCCACTATAAACCCACTATGAATTATTTTAGAGAAAACATTTTCTCTTTACAAATAGGTGTAAGAAGTTGGAAAAATAGGAGTCAACGTATATCTTTAGGGATAAAGTATATTTTTATTTTGTCAGGGTAATTTTTAGAGCCCTTGCCATTAAGGAACAACAACATAGCACTTCTGCAAATTGAAAAGTACATTCTGCATTGAAAGTGCCATGCAAAAGAGATTGTTAGAAGCTGACTGATCGATAGCTACTCCATGAAAATTTAGCTTTTATGTTTTCTCATTCTACTACTGAGGAGGAAGATACTACATTTTTAGACTGAATTATGGTTATAGGTCTTGGTCTGAGGAAAAGAGTATCTTTGATTTAGTTGTTTATTTCCATATCTACTAAATTTGCTGCTCTGTTGCATTCAGCAAATTTCTCTTATAGTTATCAGAGACTTGATCTTAAGTTAATGCTTGCAAATTTATACTGTAAAGGAAGCAAGAGAACCATAGTAAATAATGTAGCTGATATGTGTCAAATACAATCTCAAATACAAAATTATTTTATTTCATGATAGGCATTATTTTATGATAGAGATAAAGGGATGCTTTATCAGTCACATGTTTTTACATTCGCAGTTGGATAGCCTCAGTAAACATTATTATATACATGAATTAAGTAAATTTGGGGGTTGGATGGAGGGATTATGTTTTTGTATATTTTAAAGTTGTATTTTGCTTTGTTTATATAATGTACTAAGTGAAAAATTTGGTTTTGTAAGCAATATTGTGTTTACATTTAAATACTGCATATTAAAATTCTTATTGCAATGTTCTTGTCAGACTCCTTTTTCCTTTTGTTTTTTTCTGAAACACATGGAGCTTTCGCTTAAGTAACCCTTTGTATTAGGCAAACTCCTTTTAAATTTTTTTGCCTGTGGACAAAGAAAAGGAGTCTAAGAGATCTTGGGATTGTTGGGCCTAGAAATGAGAAGATGAAAGATAACAAAATGACAGACTCCAAGTGTCTAAGGGGGAAGTGTTAGAGAAGGCAAAGCCAAACTCTTCCAAGAGGCACTCAGCAAAAGGACAGCAGGCAATGGTCACAGCTGTTTTAACTGGGGAGGCGGGGGTGGAATTCTTCATGGTGAGAGTGGGTCAACACTGGAGGAAGCTGCCCAAAGAGATCAGGGAATCTGTCCTAAGAAATTTTTCAGAACTTAATTGAGCAAGACCACGGGCAACCAGATCTGAGTTTAGAGAGCCCTTCTCTGAGCAGGATATGGGTCTAAATGAGCTCCAGAGGTGCTTTCTAAACTAAATTTTTCTAATCTTCAATGAAAGAGTAGTTAATTTTAGCCCCGGAGACAATGCTTATTAGAATCCCCATTTTCTATTACATTTAGTGTACTGTAATATATGATTAAAGCATTTAAAATAGTGGTCATCAGAACTTTTTATGAAGGAAATGCAATCTTCAGCATGCTTAATAGTCAGTACTGTTCATTAGAATTAGTAAGACTCGTAAGAGTTTTAAACTAATTTTTGAATCTGTATACAACTTCATACATAGGATTGTTTCTATGTAGAGTTTACATGAGAAAATCTTCCTTTAGATGCTGAGGTCTTTTCCTGTATGAACTTTAGGACTTAGATAAAAGAGACTATTTTTAAGCCTCTTCCTATCATCGCTACTTTCCTCCAGACTATTTGCCAGCGTACCCCAGGTACAGTAAAATATTTGTGACATTTTACACAGAAGTATAAATATCTCTTTTCACCTAAATGAGTACACTGATTCTGTAAATATTTACCATTGTAAATGAGCACTCACATCCATTTCAGTGTAATATTTACTGCACTGAAATGTAGTTTCATTCCTAGTGGAACCTGGAAGAAAAGGATTTAAGGATCTGCTGCTCCCATTTACATTTAATAGTACAGAACTATTGGCTTCCACTCAATGCATTCACCACTGCAACCCTATCAAGTGCCTTTCTGCGTGTGAATCTGAGTTTCCTCTTCTAACTGAGCAACTCCATAAATGTCTTAACTTGTATCTTATTAATTTCAGCCCTCTTCTAACTGAGCAACTCCATAAATAAATTCCATAAATAACTTGTATCTTATTAATTTCAGTCTTTTTCAAATTAATCAACCATAATATTACCCTCCTAAGTATTTGTTTTCTTGTCTAGCTTTGCTTCAGTCACCAAATATATAAGCGTATGGCTCAAAACACTAAGAAAAACCTACCTATCCAGAGCAAAGGCCCATATTGTTTTCTTAATGTGTCAGAAACCATGTAAGTATTGATAAAGGTGGCAAAAAAACCCCACAGTTATATGGATTCTTGAATACATTTTGTATTTCGGGTTGAGTAATTTAGGAGTATTTAGTACATAGCTCTTCTCCATGGACAACCCCTTGTAGCTGTGTGCCTGTATGAGGTGGCTAGCTATGCTGGTGGTGGCATATGCCTCCAGTAGGGTCTCCCATGCCAGACAGGTCTCAAGTGAAGGGTCAGACAAAGTGTGTCCATGGGCAGGACGGGCTCACTAGCCTCCCGGCAACCACCCTAGGAGAAGGACAACTCTAACCCCAAACTCAGGCAGATGGAGCTTGCTTAGCCCTGTAAGGCCATCCATCTCACAGAAAGATGCTCTAACTAAACCTACGTCCTGAAGACTTCGCTGCCACCACCCGAGCTCACTAGGCCCTGGCAGATGAACCTTAGGAGTAAAGGGTGGGGCCAGTTTCGTGCACGCTGAGGTTCACCTAAAAAATCCACTGTGCAGGCTCGAAGGATACGCCCACATTTGTAAAGCCTGTAGCAACAGATGAGGGACGAAACGGCAGATGATAAGGTGTGCTGGAAGCCGCAGACCCAGCCCTGCAAGTGGTTCAGGACATTGGTCGCTCCAGATTGACCCTGGAGATGACAGTTTTGTTTGGCAACATCTTGAATGACCAAGCAGCCTTTTTCACCTCCAAAGGTGTGTTCAGAACGACACTTGCATGTCAGAACATCAGAACCATGCTTGATACAGTGAACAGTGGGCGTCCTGAGTGTCGTTCTGCATGAATTGCCCAAGAACTATGGCAACTCGGCATTGACTTTGCTGCTCTCAGTGAAGTTTGTCTCCATGAGGAAGGCAGCCTCAAAGAACATGGTGCCGGCTACACACTCTACTGGTCAGGAAAACCCAAAACCGAAAGTCACCTTTCAGGAGTTGGTTTCATGATCAAAAACTCCATTGCCTCCAAACTTGAAAATTTGCTGACAGGTCATTCCGATCGCATTATCTCCTTACGCCTCCCACTACATAACAAGCAGCATGTTGTTCTCTTCAGCATATATGCCCCAACTCTGCAAGCTGACCCTGTGGAAAAAGACAAACTCTACACCAACCTGCACTGTCTCATCCGAAAGGTTCCTGCAGATGATACAGTCATAGTCCTTGGTGACTTCAACGCCAGAGTTGGAAAGAACTCTGAAGCCTGGAAAGGAGTACTAGGCAAGTATGGTGTTGGAAACTGCAATGACAACAGACGTCTCCTGCTAGAGTTTTGTGCAGAACAGCAACTCACCATCACAAACACTATCCTTCAGCAGAAAGACAGCTTGAAGACAACCTGGATGCATCCTCGATCCAAGCACTGGCACCTCATTGCCTATGTCTTTGTGTGCCAGAGAAACATTCGTGATATCCATCATACCCGAGTGATGCCTAGTGCAGAATGTCAAACAGACCACCACCTTGTGCAATGCAAACTTAACCTCCACTTTAAGCCCAAACCTAAGAGGGGTGGAATTCCAAGGAGGAGGCTCAAAGTTAATAATCTTCAAACAGCTACAGTGAGAGACAGCTTCCAGGTAATCCTTCAAACTGGACTTGAAGACCACCCCATGATCCCTCTTCTGAAGAGCTTTTGGAACATATTAAAAATAGCATCCTGCAGTCTTCCAAAGAATCCTTAGGGTTCTCCTTCAAGGAAAACAAAGACTGGTTTGCTGAAAACAATCAAGAGATCCAGGAATTGTTGACAAAGAAGAGAACTGCTCATCAAGCACACCTTGCTCAGCCATCTTGCCATGTACGAAAAGCAGCCATTCATCTTGCATGCAGTAAGTTCCAACAGAAACTTTGAGACATTCAGAAGAAGTGGTGGATCAGCCTAGCAGAAAAGTCTCAACTCTGCGCAATTCGACTGACCACAGAGGATTCTATGAGGCTCTGAAAGCAGTGTATGGACCCACATACCACCTTCAAAGCTCCCTACTCAGCGCAGATGGCCAAATGCTTCTGACAGATAAAACCTCCATCCTGAACCGATGTCTGAACATATCCAGACTCCCTTCAGTGCCAACCGTGTAGTCCAAGGTTCAGCAATTCAGCACATTACACAACAACTGGTGAAAAATGAATTGGATATAGCTCCTACTATGGGAGAGACTCTTAAGACCATTCAGCAGGTGAAAACTGGCAAGGCAGCTGGGGCTGATGGAGTCCCACCTGAGGTCTGGAAGCATGGAGGCCAAGCACTCCGTGCTAAATTTCACGAGCTCATTGTGCGCTGCTGGGAAAAAGACGAACTACTACCAGGTCTCTGTGATGTAGTCATCATCACCCGGTACAAGAAGAAAGGAGAAAAGTCAGGCTGCTCAAACTACCAAGGTGTAACTCTGCTCTCCACTGCTGGAAGAATCTTCACAAGAATACTTTAGAACAGATTAATTCCCGGTATCTCAGAAGAACTCTTACCTGAAAGCCAATGTGGTTTCAGAGCCAATAGGAGTGCCACAGACATGGTATTTGTTCTCAGACAACTGCAAGAGAAGTGCAGGGAACAGAACAAAGGACTCTATATAACTTTTGTTGACGTCACCAAAGCTTTTTACACTGTGAGCAGAAAAGACCTGTGGCAGATCTTGGAACAATTAGGATGCCCCTCCGAGTTCCTCAAAATGATTATCCTGTTACATGAGGATAATCATGTGACCTCGTGCGGCCAAGTCAGATATGGCGATGCACTCTCTGAGCCCTTCCCAATAACCAATGGTGTGAAACAAGGTTGCGTTCTCGCACCAATTCTATTCACAATTTATCTTCTTCAGCATGATGCTCCAAAGGGCCATGGCAGAACTTGATGAAGAAAACAGCATTTACATCCTATGTCGTACCGATGGGAGCCTATTCAACCTAAGGCATCTGAAGGCCCACACCAAGACCCTAAAACATCTTCTCCGTGAGCTGGTTTTTGCTGATGATGCTGCCCTCATTGCTCATACAGAAGCAGCACTGCAGCGCTTAACATCCTGCTTTGCAGAGGCTGCTGAGCTTTTAGGGCTGGAAGTCAGTTTGAAGAAGACAGAAGTTCTCTACCAACCTGCACCTCAGGAAGTCTTCCATCATCCCCACATCACCATAGGCAAATCAGAGCTTAAGACAGTCCAAAAGTTCAACTATCTAGCAAGCATTATTTCCTTGGACGGTAAGATTGACAATAAGGTAGACAGAAGGTTAGCAAAGGCATACAGAGCTTTTGGAAAACTTCATAACAGAGTCTGGTGCAATAAATACTTGAAGAGAAGTACAAAGATTAGTGTCTGTAGTGCCATTGTACTGTCTACTCTTTTATATGGGTCTGAATCATGGGTCATCTACTGCCACCACCTGCGACTCCTCGAACGCTTCCATCAGTGCTGCCTCCGTACAATCCTAAACATCCACTGACTGATTACGTGACTAATGTGGCTGTCCTTGGACAGGCAGGGGTCACCAGTATTGAGGCCATGCTGCTGAGAACGCAGCTGCGCTGGGCAGGGCACATCTCCAGGATGGAAGATCACCTCCTCCCTAAGATTGTGCTCTATGGTGAACTTGCCACCGGCTGCCGCAAGGGAGGAGCCCCAAAGAGGAGATACAAGGACTCCCTGAAACAATACCTCAGCTTTGGCAATATTGACTACCATCAATGGTCCACTCTGGCCTTGAATTGGGAGACATGGAGACGCACCATCCATAACGCTGCTGCTTCCTTTGAGAACACACGCAGAATCAGTCTCAAAGAGAAAGGACAATGCAGAAAGAACCGTGCCTCGCCCGTACTGCCTAAGGAGACCTTCCGCTATGTCTTCTGCAACTGGACTTGCCCTTCCTGCATTGATCTTTTTAGCCATCAACATGCTTGCAGCAAACGTGGCTAAAGCCCTTCCCATATCTTCGTTCGCGAAGCCTAGCCATGACGATGAGTACATAGCTACATTTCTATTCATTTCAGCCCAAGAAAAACAATTATATACAAGAATGCACAGCAGCGAAAATGAATATAGCTTTGCAAACATATCATACTTTATTGTCAGATAATGTGACCTAATATATAATCAGATATATTAATAATATACAATTTAGAAGAGAAGTTCTAGGATTAAACTGTTTTATTTAGTAGTTCACAGGATAAAGTACCCTCTGTTTAAAGAACATCTAAATCAATGATTTGGTTAAAATACCCTTTACATTTTCTAAGTGAATCTGTCATCACTATCATATACCTTTTTTGACACTATCCATCATGTTTATGCTGTGTTACCCGAATATCCCCAAAGTAAAACCTGCCAGAAATCTCAGAATCTCAGTTTTACCTCAAAGTGGGCCTGCCTTTTTTTACAGAGCAAAATAACAAAGAAGAAAAAAAAAAGACAACCACTGCATAGTCTGTGCACAGACTTTGCTAATTCTAGAAAAGAGGAAGATAATCTCCATGTTGGGTGGGCTATTAAATGGAAGAAGCCATGATACGTGACACTAATACATTTATTTTTTAATCTCCTCGTAGTTCCCTTCTGCTGGTTATCCTGGGACTTTCAGACAGATTTATGTGCTGTTTCCTCAGCCGTACTAGTTGTAGCTTGTGTTCCTTTTACTTAGAATTGCTTGCGCTTCAGCACTCTGTCTCGGCACGACCTTTCCAGTGTATGTGTGGAAACCTGAGGTACTCCGGGAAAGCTTCTACCCTTTTGTAATATATAAACGTCTTAATTAGTATGTGCATATAGCACAAGAAGAAACAGTGTGCTGAGCAGATAAAGTAAAAGCTAAACATAGGCTGTAACACACAGTATACATTACTGAAATTAATGTACAAAACTGTAAGAAGTACTAATTGTTTATAATGATACTAGAGGAAACGGCCAGAAACCAAACCATCAAAAGTTCCACAGGAACTTGAGGAAAAAATTTTTAATAGTGAGGGTGACAGAGCCCTCGAACAGGCTGCCCAGAGAGGTTGTGGAGTCTCCTTCTCCGGAGATCTTCAAAACCCACTTGGACGCAGTCCTGTGTCACATGCTCTAGGTGACCCTGTGTTGCAGGGGGGTTGGACTAGATGACCTCTAGAGGTCCCTTCCAACCTCAAGCATTCTATGATTCTATGATTCTATACTAGCATTGATTTAAATAGCTTTGTTTATGTAATACAAATAATAGATGGTGTCTCACAACTGGAAAGCACATTCTCAGGTTTCAGCTAAATCAAAACCAGAGCAGTATCTGAGGAATTAATATATTTTTCATTTAATATTTTAATAATAATTTTGCATTCAAGGAAAAAAAAATAAAACCATAGCAGAAGTTTACAAACTGCGCTTGTTGTCACCACCCAAAATGTGCCTGTTCCCTGGTCTTCCACTTCTTCCCTCTCCAGTTAGAAGCCCAGTAAGGATCCCAGTTCCAGCTCTGCTCCCTACAGCACTCCAGCCACTCACCCCTTTTATGATCACGGCCATCCATGGAGATGGCATCTCCATCTCTAGGTTGCATCATTCCCCTCTCCACAAAGCACATAATTCCACAAGATGATAAGCAGGAGGGAGTGCAGATCTTCTCCACCTGTGTAATCCTGCCTACTGGAGAGCAATTTTTCTTTTTCTAGTTAGACTGCATCTTCTTTCCACTGTTTCTTTTGGCTATTAGTAAAGTAAAGCAAAAGTTCAGTGACAATAACCATAACAAAGATACACATTCCTAAGGACAAGGCAGCTCTTTGGTACTGCTGCTGCTGAATTTACTTGAGATGTCCTTATTCTTTATCATGTGAAATAGTTAAAATCTGAAATCTCTTCTGCCTCATGAGTAGACATTGTGTGTTTAGGGGCTGCATTTGAACAACAGGATGCATTTGAACAGGTTGCCCCAGAGGCAATTCTAAAGTCAGGACATACCACCCATTTCTTGGCAACTTAATGTGCACACCAGGACTTTTCCTTACACCTGTAAGGAAACCTTCTTAGAGTAGTAAGGGTCTCTCTGCCACCATTCACAACCCGAGTTGTAAACTTTCACCACACTGTGCTGCGCTGCCCTGTTACCCACCAGCACCCTCCAGCGACCTTGGAGAAGCCAGACAGGCACATAGCACCTCACAGGCTTGTTCCGTGCCAAGTCAAGGACTGCACCTTTACCAAACTCACAAGCTTCCTGTGCCCCTAGGTTGCTGAAGTTCCTGCAAAGGGCAGTCCATGCCCCCCCAGCACACTGACTGCTCCTCCTTGGTGTATCTAGAGATACTCCAGGAAACGATCCAGAGACTTGCTGAAAGTCAAGTCATCAGCTGCTCCACCTGTGTCCACCAAGCTAGTCATTTCATCACAGAGGTCAGTCAGGTTTTTCAGGTGTGCTCTGCCTGCGGTATATTCATGCTGGCTGCTCCTTGTCACCTTCTAGCACTTCCTGTGACTTGAAATGGCTTCCATGAAGACTGAGCTCCAAGGTTTTCCCAGGAGCTCAGCTGAGGCTATAGTTCCTTAGATCCTCCTTACTGCCCTGGCTAAAGGTGGAGATTTTTTTTAGCTTTTAATTTCAAAGCAAGTAAGTCATATAAAACTCTGTTATACTTACTAAGAGGTGAACAGTGTGAACTCAAGGGCAGACAAAAGCAGAGAATTTTTCAGAACGCTGCAGTCTGCTGCCAAACTCTACACGCCCAAGGGGTACCAAGTTCTCCTCCTCCAGTCCTGTGAGGAGCTAACAATCCCACACTCTATAAATGGGAGATACATCTGCATCATGACTTTTGCAATACCTTAAAAGCCTGCCAAAACCCTTCTAAAATCCACACATAAAAATAATGTGCAATTCCATATGCACAGTCAACAAGCGAGGCTTTACCAGCCAGTTTTCCCTCTCTCCCACACCATCAATTGCAGCTGCAATTCACAGAGCCTCCTTGCTAATTTCTGTGGCCTTGTCAGTCTTTCACCAGGTCTGTGAAAGGAAGATAATTGCTGCTTCAATCTCCTTCTCTGTGCTGAGAGGAGGGTTTGAAATATTATGTGGTCTGGAAAGAAAATAAGATATATCAGAGGAGAAGAGAGATGGAAGGAGGTTTTAAAAGAAATAAAATGTTGCTCCTTCCCTCTCCCCTTTTAAGACATTGATCTATATGCTTCCTACCCACAGGCTGCATTTTAATCTCTTGAAAGAATCCTGCTTTTCAAACACTTTGCAGTGTGATGCCTTTCACGAAAAGTTGGCTATGCTAAATAAGCCACGACCCGCTCTGAAGCGTGAGGTGCAAATGCAGGCCTGGCTGCTAACACGGTTCCCTATAAAGCCTGTCAGAGGTACCAAAGGGGATTTTTGATACCTGTGGGGCACCTCACAGGTTTGTGGGAGCGATACACCCAGCCCCCTGTGCCCTGCTTGGGGCCAAGGGCAATCGGGCCGGCCTCAAATGCCGACAACGGTGACTCCTCGCACTGGGGCTGAGGCACCTATTGGGAAGGAGACATTTCACTAAGAAAGCAGGAGTCGACATGTTTTACATTAAAATGTAAGGGGGCAGCGGGGAGAGGCGGCTGGGC